GCTTATGTTTTTTTAATATTATCATAAAATGGATAATTTTTGTAATAAAACTAAAAAGTAAAAAAGTTGAAATAAATTTATGTAATTAATTTAATTTAAGTACTTATAAAATATTTAAGTCAAATTTATTTTTTTTAAATTAGTGTGTAAAAAGAATTTTAGACAAAGAATTATATAAATTACCAATAAAAATGGTTTTATCATTAAATATTATAAATGAATTTGGTTGAAATATTCATTATTTTCTGCTAAAATAGGAATAGTTGAAAATTATTTTTTCAAACTAATTATAATGTTTTATCTTATATTTTTAAATAAAAAGAACATTCAATATCTTAGGAAAAGTGATTAATAAACTATGCTTTAAAGCATTTAATAGAATAGAATGTCGAGGACATTAGAAAATATATTGATGATGAAAACAAGGACAAATCTTTTTATGGTAAAGTGATTGTTTCTAGATGATAGTTTAGACAAATTTTGTTTGTGGTAAAAAATGAGTCTGATATGATGTCATAAAATCAACAATAAATTATTCTAAGTTATGATAACGTCATGAAGTGTTGAAACTTTTAAAACATGAGACTAAATATTGTCAAATCATTGTTGCAATAAATATAAAAAAAATTTACTAATTAGATATTGAAAATTGGAGATAGATGTATAAATTTAAATGAAAATTGTGAAGGTTTCTCAAAATATGAGGAGATTTTTTAATTCAAAATAGTGAATCTTCTTTATTATCCTGAATTTTTGTTAAATATGATAATTCGTGAGATTTTTTTTATGATGACATAGAATTAAATATGTATAGCAAATCTTATATTGAAGTTGAAAGTATGTGTGTCAATTATGCTTCTAAAATACATTGATCCAACAAATGATCATTCTAATGGTACAATGTTGCAAGTTAATGAATCACGAAAAATGTTATTTTTGTTATCGTGGTTATAGTAAAAAATATTGGGCAAACAAGAAGAATTAGGTATTTTTTAAATTCTTAAAGCAGACAATTTTTCAATATCGTCCTGTTTTGCAATGACAATCAATAAAAGTCAACACAATCTATTATAAAATTAAATTGATTATCAGTCCAGATATTTACACATTGCAAAACTCTATGTTGTTGTTTCTAGGTCAAAATAAAGAAGGGATTGAAAATCCTAATTTTGGATGAAGATGGAAATGTGAGTATCATAACTAAAAATATTGTTTACAAAGAAATCTTCAAAACTCTTAAAAAAAATAGAACATTTGTCATACATAAGGTATACCTTCTTTTTATTTCAAGTTTTATAATTGTTTATTAAAATTATGTTTTTAGTTCATTGTTGGATTATTTGAGATGAAAGATATCATATATATCTTCATTATTAATAAAGACCTCCTATGTCAATCTAAGTTGTTGAGGTAATGGCAAAATTTTGACATATTTTAAGTTTTATGGACAATATATTTGAAACCAATTATGTGTACTTCATTAATTGTTGTATTACTTTCTTATTCAAATATAGTATTGCATTTTACAAAGCTTATCAATTAGAACATTATAATCTAGTATATAACAATATCGTGAACTTCATTTTGAACTCTTGTGACTTAAATTTTTCATCCTTTATCTTATTTTTTAGCACCTACTTTTCTTGTGTTGTCCTTTTATGTCAAATTTTCAAAGTGTACCGTGATCCTTGTTTGTTCATTAATGTTTTTATGTTTTTTATACACAACATTCATAAGGGAATAATAAAGAAAAATAATACACATAAAAAGAAGGGAAGGAGATAGAAGACTACCTTACATTTTCTCTTTTCTCTTTTCGTCCTCGATAGCGTAACTATACCTTTTTTTCATTTTGTTCTCTCCAATTCACATCTCTTTTCATCTATTTTAGAAATTAATCACACTCCTGAGTAGTTGAAGTGTCAATGAACATTTTAGACCGATCAAATTTTCCAAATAGAGTCTTTAGAGGAGATAGTTCCACCAACAATTAGCAAAAGTTGGGATCTAAGGAATAGATATTATGAGGTAAGAGGAGCTAACTTGTCTTGCTTAAATAACATTTTCATTGAATGATTTTATGAAAATCATTTTATGGATATGATATGGCAAGTCTTGATAACGATAGTTATAAGGGAAGCCATAACTCTTTTTGCAAATTGATTGTTTTTAAGCTCAATGTTGTTATATTATGAAATTGGTACCTCAAAATGAAAAATTTTGTTGATTTTGTAGTTGGACTAAGTTAGTCTATATATATATGATATATATATATATATATATATATAATATAATATATATATATTAATATATATATATGAGTCTAAGTTAAAATTGATATATGATTGTAATTTTGATATGTCTCTATCAAATTCTCTCTCAAACAAGAATACCACTGCAACTTAACCTAGTTTGTGTCAAATTCTCGCTCAAGCGAGTAAATTCTCAATTAATCGATACAATTCTCGTCCAAGCGACACCCTATTTTAAATCCTGAGTTAGTGAAAATTAAGATTTTTACTTCATTAACTATCGAATCGAGGTGAAATCTTTCTAGATGGGTCTAGACACATGGTTCTTTATTTTGACCATTCAAACATGGATGAAATTGAGATATTTTGAATTTTAGATGTTTGATTGTATGAATTTTGCCGCACTTGCATAATTATGTTCTAAATTTCTAGATGACGAATTAATTTTATTAGTTTATAATTTGTAAAATTAATATATTCTTTAATCGTTTAAGTTTTAGTTCATTTTTAACTCTAAATTTTTAAATCAATTTATGGCTTATCCTTTCATTTTTTTAAATGTGTTTTCTTTCGTTGACCATGTATACGCATAAACAAAAGATATAACAGGTAATAACTTGAACAATGTTAAAAGTAAAAAATAAGATAGATTTGTGAGTTTATTCTTTGTATTAAAGCTTTTTGTAATATATGAAATTTCTATACGAAAATTTGTACGAAGACAATTATATCTTGAATAAATATTCATAAACTCTTATTATATAAAACTTCATGCTTATAATAATGTATATTGTGTGTGTTTTCAATAAACGAAGTGAAGTGGTATAAATTAGAGATTTGTATAAATTGGAGCATTACAACAAAGAGATTCAGTTATGTTTAAAAAAAAAAACTCATCTGGCATAAAAGAATTATCAGTTTATTTTTTTTTTAATTTTTTAATTTTTTTCTTCTATTATGAATCGGTATTTCACTTTTTATTATTAGACGGATCTCAAAATTGTCATTTCCTATTGTGAAAAAACACTCCTAAACTAGGTGCTGCCACGTTGAAAGTCCTAACGACCTTAACAAATATAAAACTTTAAGGAACGAATTTAATAAGAATCTTTCGTAGAGATACTCTAAATTAATACCTCTATTTTACCTTTTTATCTTAGTTTCGAGACTCGTTCAATAGCGTCCTTTTGGTCGAGTCTTGAATTTTCCATTTTAGAATACAGATATTACAGCGATGATCGTGAACAGTTGATTCGATTTTTGTTTTGTTTTGTTTTGTTTTGGTTTAAGTTGATCTTCAATCCATTTTTTTATTATATAATCAGAAGGACTAATCGCTGTTAAACATGGTCATTTTTATGACTTTTTCCTACCTAAAGTAATAGAGATTAATTATTAGGAACGAGTATGACATTGTCGTGAAGTGTATTCGTTTTCATATTGTCTAAACTTTTTAAATGAAATTCTGCTGCCTAATTTATGCCAAAGGAACCTTACGAACTTAGTTTTGGAATAAAAAAAATATTTTGAATTTGACTTCCAATACGTGTCTGAAAGAATATTTTATTCATATAGATAAACACGTGAGAAGTCAACAACACCATATAATTATTTTATTCATCTTCAGAATCACACGTAATTAATGTTAACAAGAGAGATGCATAGTACATAAAATGGTATCTTATAAATTAGGTACTTTACACGACATCAGTATTCCTATACTATACAACGTCTAAATTATTATCGTTAAAAACAATGCAACCGTATATTGGTGTTTTTTAAGGAAGTCGTGTCTTTATTAGTTATTCCACACTCCCTTACGACATCTGTTTTACTAACGGTCAACAGCGTTCTTTAAATTTATTTGAAAACACAAAATTAAGGGTGCTATTGTTGTTCACACGTGATCCGAGTAAAACTCACTATAGTAGATGTTTTGTTTGTCATAATAATGTTAACGCTTTTAATATTGGTCTCGTGTATGTTATGTGTACAAAAGAAAAAACCACGTGTGGCTTAACTTAATTTAAACTTTCAAAAACAAAATTTTTTAACTCATACATTTTAAAAATTAAAATACTAAACTTCCCAATTTAAAAATATAAAAATCAGAATCAAGTGTGTTCAAATATGCGTTCTATCACGGTTCACAAGAGTTAACATGTTTGGGAAACAACGGTAAAAACTGTAAAAAAAAAAATGATAAAAACATGCAAAAATAGAAGCAAGTGCCGACCATTGACATAGACAATTAAAGTTTGTGTAATTTTGAAGCAACCAACAATAATTGCCACATTTAGAGCCACAAATTTTACTTGTAATGTTGAAACAATAAGAGAAGAAAACCAGTAAAATGTCAGAATCAGAGATAACAGGATAAACATTGGTAGTTGATAAGTAACTTGATGTCACATTGTGAACAATCCCACAACCTTGTATCTAGCTTTATCTAGTAGCATCCATAATTCATTGTTCCACCTCAATCAACTCTTCCTTTTACTTCTTCATAGAACCACCTAATTCCGAACACCATTTCCCTCTCCGCGGAACAAAGTACTTTTCACTCGCCAAAATAAAAAATAATATTTCAACAAAGTTATATCACACATGCAATGAGAAAGAAATTCTCAACCACATTAATTCAAAACGTGCAAACAATTGGTTATAATTATTGTAATTAAAGGGAGACGTGAAGGGCAATATGGTCATAAAGTACAATATGGTCATAAAGTACGGTCTATTTATAGTCTAGATAGTCACATAAGGCGCAATAAACATAGGATTCTTCCCTTCTGATTTTCCTCCACAGCCACCATGGAAACCAAAGCTGTTCTAGACCTCTTTGATTCTTACTGGTTTGAGGTTAACATTTTGAAGAAAAATTCCAGCGCCGACACATCAATTACAAGTGGTAAAGGAAATCTAGAATATGAGACAAAAGAAGAAAAGGAAGAAGAATTAGAACCAAAGCTTCCCTTGATCAGAACCAGCCACACCAGATCCATGAGTGACCAATCCATGACAAGCACAAGATTCAACAATGATTCCCTTTCTCCAGACTCTGTACTTCTTCTCTCGCCAAAGCTCCAAACCATTCTCTCAGGAAAAGAAGTCACTGGCTCTGAAGGTGAGAGTCCAACACAGGTTAGGCTCCATGAGGTGTTGTGCCCTGAGAACAGAAAAAGTTGCAAACTTTCGGGTAATGGAACTAGGAAGAGGAGGGAGAGCAAGAGTTTGTCCGACCTTGAATTTGAGGAGCTAAAAGGGTTCATGGATCTGGGTTTTGTTTTCTCAGAGGAGGATAAAAACACAAGCTTGGTTTCAATTATTCCTGGGCTGCAAAGGCTAGGGAAGAAGGAAGAAGAAGAAAAAGAAGAAAGAGGAGATTGTAATGAGCTAAATGTCCCAAGGCCTTACCTTTCTGAAGCATGGGAGGTTCGGGAATATGGTAAGAGAAAAAAAGAGAACCCCTTGGTGAATTGGAAAATACCTGCTTTGAACAACGAAAATGACATGAAAGATAGTCTCCGATGGTGGGCACACAGAGTTGCTTCCACTGTCAGATGATAATGCTGTTGTTCATAATCCAAGTTTTATTGTTCACTTCTTTCTTTCTGTTCAATATACACATTTTTCTTATTCTTTTGTCCATTTTTTTATGTATTTATTCTCTTTCTTATTTTTTTTTTCTGGAATTTGGCGATCGATAGATTTATGATTAGCTGTAAATTTGTACGAAAAGAGAGAAATTTTATGCAGCATTTCAGATTTATTTCAGATTTATTGACACAATCCGAACAAATATAGTACTCATGGCAGGTCTGAATATTTGTTCTTTTTGTAAGTTAGATTAGTTGTGAGCTCTGTTTTTGTCTTGCTTGTTTGTGTAAGGAATTGACAATGCAATTGGTAGGTACCAAACTTAGAAAATAGTGTTTTACATAACTGAATTATGAATTTACCACTTGAAACATCAGAAACACTCCCCTGTCTCCTCACTTTGCATTCATACGAAAAATTCTGTGTATATCACAGCTTTTGTGCAGCCTATGATGGTTTATTCCCTTAACCACCTAAATAGATAGCAAACATGTTGTATCTAAAACAATCATAGACTGAATCCAGAGAATGACTATAAATTTCCTTTCTTAAATTCTTCTGTGTATTACATTAATTTTATGAATAAAATGTGTCTTATAGTTACTTTAATTTTCAGTTAAAATTATTTTATACTTTAAAACTGATATAATTTTGACCATAAAGAAAAATAAATCATCGTGAAAAAAAAAAAAGAGATAGGAAGACTAATATGTTCATATAGATAAAAACAAATTGAGACTCACATAATACTGTATCCTAATTTTAGCATACATTAATAACATATTAAATAATTTTTCATTAATATTAAATTTAATAAATATTATATGTGATACAATTTAATAGAATAATAAATATTTAGTTTAAATAAACTATATAGTAATAGGTTATTTAATAAAAAAAATCAAAGAAATCAATATTTGCATGAGTAATTTGAATTTTGTCTCATAATCATTGGCAAGACACATAATTCTTTGGAGCTACCACCTAAGGAAATGAGAAATGATAATTTATATATATATATATATTGAACATTTTTTTATTTTACTTTTTTATAATTATTTTATCTTTTATAATATGTATTAAATTAGTGAACGTAAATGTATATCACTCATAATAATTATAAATAATTATTATAAAGAGATATGCCGTAGAAAGTGCAATTGATGGAGGAAGAATGCAAAATTTAGAAAATTTTGAATGCTTTAGATGTTTTTTTTTTTTTCTCCTTTGTTATAATTCGTCCTCTGTTCTACTTTATCGTATTATGATAGTATGTCAGACTTATTTGCTTATTTTCTGTTCTTTTCATCTTTAATCCTAGAGAAGAGTGATATGTATCCAACGGTCTAACACGTGAACATTGTCTTTTATGTTTGTTTTTTTTACCAAATACAACATCTGAAAATCGTAAACTAAAATTCTACAATTATGATTTTCTTTTTCAAGCTTTATGCTTTGATATCTTCTTCTCCACGTGTTCGTTTGCATGTTCCTTTGTAAATGTTACGTTCTTTGTAACTGGATGAAAATCTAAGATATCTTTGTAACTGGATGAAAATCTAAGATATAATTTGTTTAAAAAAATAAATAAAAATAATAAAAAAATATATTTTCATGGTTGATTTTGATTTTTATATTACTAAATCAATGAATATTTCATCAAAATATATTTTTATCATTATTAAAATTTGAACTTTCTTCCGAGTGAGTTCCTAGTTACAATTATATTAAATATACTTTATATTACTAATACGAGCATTTAAGTATCTTTGTTATCTCAATCATTAATCTATTAAGGAGGATTTAATTGAAAACCTTCACTTTTCTATAAGTCAATTGACCTACTAATAATCTTTATGATCTTAGATTTTTTTTTCCAAAGTATTTATTATGCCCTTTATACTCCTTTCTAATCTAATCAATATGTATTCATGAGAACTACATGCATATATCAGAATTTCAAATATATATTTTTGCTAATTTACAAATTATGGGAAAAACCAAATTGAAATGCTACTGTCAAATATATTTCTTCTTAATTATTAAATTTCAAAGATTAGGTGAACTTATAATTAAGTATATATGGATCTTCATTTTTTTACTCTACATCTATTAAACACTGATAAAATTATACTTTATTTTAAAATATAAAATAGTTTAGGAAAAATTAAATACAAAATATAAGTAAAATATTTTTTATTAGGTATTGAATAGAGGTAGAAAGTTGAGAGAGGTAATGTACAACTTTCCTATCTTAGTGTAAGTATATCCAAAGAATCTTGAATTAATATTATACACCATTTTATGATTAAAGATGGTGTAGTTCATAAAAATGGGTGCCGTTAACAATGGCTCACCACGAAATGTCTAATCATGTACAAATACTGACACTATTTGTTTTATTCATTTATTATATAAAAATATTTTTGAAACTGAAAGTTTTATTTTTATGTTCTGTCAGTGTGATAACCATTTTAAAAGAGAAACAACTCTCTTTATTATATAATTAAAATAATTATTGACATATAGTCTAATTTTTACATTAGGTATACGTAAAAAGATTTTTAATATTTTTTTAATAATGATATTCTCACTCCAAATTTTGACAACCTTTTAACTTTGACATAATATATTGGCATGTGATTGGTAATAATTTTAAAAAATGACATGGAAATAGTTGAAATTGGAGTTTGAGGGTTTTCTTCTTTGCGGATCCATACTTTTGGATTTAAAAAATTTATTTCTAGAGTGCGAAACAGAGCGTTTTGAGACCTCTTCATCCTGATGAGAAATCGTCTTTCACTTAACCTTCAACTATTGTAGTTGATCGAACTTGTATTTATCGTCATTCGGAATGAACCTACTGTCGTTTCGACGTTTTGTTGAATGCCTAAACCACCATTAGGTTTCGTAGCTTTACGTACAATCACCATTTGGAAGAACAGTTGAAGGCGAAAACCATTGTTGAAGGCGAAAACCACCGTTGAAGGAAAGAAAGCATCGTTTGTAAGAAACAATATCAACAAAGGAAAATCAAAACGAACCACAAAAACTTACAAATGATGCTTTTTCGCCTTCAAATGTGGTTTCAGTCTTCGAGGGTGCTTCCAAACGATGATTCTAGTGAAATGAACATAACAGAGTTACAAAACACACGTCAATGGTGATTTGGACTTTCAACAAAGGTTTGAAACAGCGGTAGATTCGGTCCGAATGGCGACGGATACAGGTTCGGTCAACGATGACGATTGGAGGTTGGGTGAACGACAAATTCTCGTCACGGTGAACGGCGTCCCAAAGTGCTCTTTCTCGCACCTTAGAAATAAAATTTTTGAATCCAAAAATATAAAACTCGCAAACAAGAAAACCCTTTAAACCTCAATTTCATTTTTTTTTCCACATTATTTTTTTAAAATTGTCTACATGGACCAATCACATTCCCACATGAGTCGATGTTAAAAGGATGTCAAAATTTGAAATCAAAATATCATTATCCTATTTTTTTAAGGGGTGTTAAAGACGTTGTGGATGTGTTATTTGAAAGTGGGATGCTATATTTTATAATTGTGATGAGAATTCGAATATTTTTTGAATATGAAACAATTATCTATACTATTAGTGATTGATATTAAAAATGGATAAATTTGAAATTACAAATTTTTTATTTTTCTCTTTTTTTCTTTAATTTACATGAAAACACACTCTCCATCAAGTGTTTGGAAAAATATATTAATAATTAGAAAGACTCACTCACCCTTTGGATTGTGATTCAATCCTACTTTATAACACATGAAAATATTTATCTTAATAAATAGTAGTAATTTTTTCTTAGTATTATTATCAGTAGTAATAATTTTATGGATAGAAAATATGATTAATAAGTTATGTGGTAAGTAAACAAAAATTTATAATAGCTTAGATGGTAATTATTACCTTGAAACACTTGGGACATAAGTTCAACAGAAAGATCTTAATCCCTTTTGACCATTAGTTAATTCACGCTTTGTTTACCATTAGATTGACCTGATAATTTAATATATCATATAAAATTATCTTGACCGCTCGAATTTGTAATTGGATGTATATATTTAGAGAAAATACTTTTGGAATTTTTAGATAACTTAATCCCATCTTAAATTTTGTTTTTAGTCANTTGGTAATAATTTTAAAAAATGACATGGAAATAGTTGAAATTGGAGTTTGAGGGTTTTCTTCTTTGCGGATCCATACTTTTGGATTTAAAAAATTTATTTCTAGAGTGCGAAACAGAGCGTTTTGAGACCTCTTCATCCTGATGAGAAATCGTCTTTCACTTAACCTTCAACTATTGTAGTTGATCGAACTTGTATTTATCGTCATTCGGAATGAACCTACTGTCGTTTCGACGTTTTGTTGAATGCCTAAACCACCATTAGGTTTCGTAGCTTTACGTACAATCACCATTTGGAAGAACAGTTGAAGGCGAAAACCATTGTTGAAGGCGAAAACCACCGTTGAAGGAAAGAAAGCATCGTTTGTAAGAAACAATATCAACAAAGGAAAATCAAAACGAACCACAAAAACTTACAAATGATGCTTTTTCGCCTTCAAATGTGGTTTCAGTCTTCGAGGGTGCTTCCAAACGATGATTCTAGTGAAATGAACATAACAGAGTTACAAAACACACGTCAATGGTGATTTGGACTTTCAACAAAGGTTTGAAACAGCGGTAGATTCGGTCCGAATGGCGACGGATACAGGTTCGGTCAACGATGACGATTGGAGGTTGGGTGAACGACAAATTCTCGTCACGGTGAACGGCGTCCCAAAGTGCTCTTTCTCGCACCTTAGAAATAAAATTTTTGAATCCAAAAATATAAAACTCGCAAACAAGAAAACCCTTTAAACCTCAATTTCATTTTTTTTTCCACATTATTTTTTTAAAATTGTCTACATGGACCAATCACATTCCCACATGAGTCGATGTTAAAAGGATGTCAAAATTTGAAATCAAAATATCATTATCCTATTTTTTTAAGGGGTGTTAAAGACGTTGTGGATGTGTTATTTGAAAGTGGGATGCTATATTTTATAATTGTGATGAGAATTCGAATATTTTTTGAATATGAAACAATTATCTATACTATTAGTGATTGATATTAAAAATGGATAAATTTGAAATTACAAATTTTTTATTTTTCTCTTTTTTTCTTTAATTTACATGAAAACACACTCTCCATCAAGTGTTTGGAAAAATATATTAATAATT